TGGACATTAGGAAGAACTTCTTCACAGTTCGAGTGGCCAGGGTCTGGAACGGGCTCCCAAGGGAGGTGGTGCTCTCCCCTACCCTGGGGGTCTTCAAGAGGAGGTTAGATGGGTATCTAGCTGGGGTCATCTAGACCCAGAACTCTTTCCTGCTTATGCAGGGGGTTGGACTCGATGATCTATTGAGGTCCCTTCCGACCCTAACGTCTATGAATCTATGAATTATTTTCTCAGATCAGTTTTACATTGATTTAAATGGAGGTACTTTATATTCTTAAGATTGAAAAATGAATCAGGTCCAGTGTGGGAAAGCTACCAGATGTCACCTTGAAAGCCCAGATTATTTCTCCATCACCTAGCTAGCCTATTATTTACCCAGTTAGAAATAAAAGACATTCAGCAGGTCAGAACACAGACTCAATAAACTTCCTGCAAAGAAAATAGAAATTTTTCTATTAATGAAACATCAATCAACTCAGTCACTTTTCATTCTATGTCTGAAGGCCATATTCTCCATGTAAGCATACCGAATTAGATTTGGCTGCTTAAAGGTGTTGGCTTTTGAATAAGTAAAATTCAGTCATCTTTTGATCCAGTAATTTGTGTCTGGTTAAATGTTATTTCAATCATTATATGTTTAATCCATTTAGAATAACACTTGCTGAGACTTCAGTTATAAGGTTAGACTTGAAAGGATCATTTATTATTTCAGGTCAATTATAGCTTGTTACTACTACCAAAACCAACTCAATGAAATCCAAACATTAAGACTTCTTAATATTTTTTGGTAACTTCCTTGCTGTCTGGCTGCAGAACCAGGCTAATTTGTTATAGTAATGTAAATCTGAAGAAACACCAGTGACTTGAATGGAGCTTATTCTGAATTTACACTGCTTTATAGAAATCATCCATATTTAGGACAGCACCCAATTTTAAGTATGTACTTAAGAACATGCCAAAATTCTGTCTTGAATAGACGTTTATGGAATTATGTGCTTAAGCACTGTCCAGAATCAAGGGATAGCTGAGATGAAATCCTAGCTCACAATATCTATACTCCTCTGTCATTTGGGAGAAAGGTTTGTGTGTTAACTCCCACAAGCTAAGCCATTGGACCTTTCCTACATTTTAACTGGAGCTATCTCACTGAACACAGGCTTCAACAAGTGGGTCATTCATCCCAAACTGGATCATGCATAAGTAGCTTAGATTAATTTTTTGGCATAGGAGACAAATAGATTATTTCCTATGTAAGATTAACTGACAAATGATTTGTTCATCGTTCTCTCTACATGAACACCATTAATTTTCTCTCCCAAATCTTTGCACAAGCCTGGAAAATATCAGTTATTTGGATCTTTTTTTAAGCTGTGACATTCAGATAAAAAAGTGGAGTAGGAGTAAAACCGTAGCTTTCTTCTTACTCATTTTTCCTTATTTATTTTTAAACACGATTCCTATTATTAGAGATATTATGATGAATATTTGCCTCAGACAGTATTATTTATTGGAGACATTGTTATTATGGTTAGTATTAGAAGTTATTCCTGACAGTAAAAATATATACATATGGTATGCATGTCTTCTTACTTAGATAAGAATAAATGAAGATAAATCAAAACCTGGTTTCACTGATTCTCTTTAATCCAAACCTCCTTCTCCTTCAAGTCTTGGTCTTTCATATCAATTTCTTTCCCCATAATTCTCAAGTGCATATCTACATTTATGAGTTTTTTCATATAAACGGTAGGTTGCAATTAATGAACATATTTAAAATTAGCCTGCACCAGTGGTGCCTAAAGCAACTGGCCCTCTAAAACAGGGGCAGGCGAACTGTGATAGCACAAGGCTGGGGTTGCCATGGAGACTGGCCCCAGACATGCAGGCAGGGGCTGCTGGGAAATGGAGTCCAGCTGCCAGCTAGATCCACAGTTTTGCCCACCCCTGCTCCAAAAGCTACACCTGGAGCATGGAGCCATGCCATCTGTGCAGGAATTTGGCGGCAGCATTAATTGCTATGATTCCCAGTACTGCAGCAGCCAGTACTCTGCCCATTTTCAAATTTCTGGTCCTGCAGGCCAAATGATGCAGCTCCACACTCTGGATCTGCCCTGTGGGGCTCTCCATGATGCCAAAAATTTGGTGGAGTGGCCACAGCTTGCCCTGCCACCAAATTTCCAGACCCTTGGGGAGCCCTGCAGGCCAGGTGACACAGAGCTGTATTTTGGTCCCCCCAGGCCTATACAATTCACTGTTGCATACCCTATACTATAGAAATTGGGCAAGGTGGTAGATTAAATCAACTAGCAAACCTTTTCCATTGTTTAAATTCTATAAATCAGTTTTTTATTTAGCATAGCTAACACTTATAATAGGAACTACCTCTGAGAAAAGAGGACTAGGAAAACTAGAATTCAAGTTCTGACCCTCCTCTATGGGACTCTGTAATGAATGAAGAACTTGTGAAATGGTGACAGCACAAGAGGTGGGCTAATTACCCAGTGGGCCACACCTGCCTAGAGCTTTGACTGGCAGGCATAACCCAGTTAATGACTCCAGCTGCCCCCTGTCAGGGTCTCCTGATTGATTCTTGGGAGAGCGGTCTACCTATTTAGTTCCAGCTGCGGCAACAGACTCCAGGCCAACAAACATCTCCGGCTGAAGGTCTACCCTGGCAAGCCTCTGTAATCTAGTTCTCCTGATCCTGTTCGCTCTATTCCTGAACTCTGGCTTCTGGATTTTCTCTTGGATTCGGTAATTTGGCTTCTGACTCCTGACCTTTGCCTGGGCTTGTGATTTGGATCTTACCCCTATATTTTTGCTGGATCTAGTAACTTGCTATCTGTTTCCCTGGGTTTGGCCTGTTTTGAATTCTGCCCTGGGGTTTCCCCTTAGATCTGGTAACTTGGCATCTGATTTGGCCCTTGTTTTAGACTATCCCTTGCTTCTTTCCTCCCCCAGGGGCCTAACCATTAGGTTGGATAGCCTACAACCTGGTTCATTACATAAGGGAAAATTTAAGAACAACTTATAAATTTACTTTAAAAATTCTTATTTGGTTTATCTTAATCAACACTTACGTAACTTCAACAACCACCTAACACTCTGGATAAAGGAAGTCTTCGTTAAAGATTCACTCATATCAACCTTGCAACTAAGGGTCTACCTACATTGCAGTCATTCCTGTGACAGCTTGTAAGACATACATGAATTAACTTAAACTAGTTAGCTTGGCAGCTGCTAGAAATCTAGCCAGAGTAGTATAGAGCTCATCCTGGATTACAAAACTCGCCCAAGAATCAAGAATATATATTCAGGTGGCTAATCTGAGCAATATGGTTAGTCTGAGCAATATACCTAAACTGAGCTAGCTAGCCTCAAGCTGTCAATACCACAATACAGTCACAGCAGAGATTGCAATGTAGACGTAACTTAAGTTATTCCTCACCATAAGCCCGCCTGGGGTTTTCCACTGTTATGCAGCAAAACCAGGGAAGATCAAACTGGCCACTTATGATATTTCTAAGTTAAAAACAAAAGGGAAAATATCACTTGCATCTTCCAAACTTTAAAAGAAAAAGAAAGAATAAAAAAAATAAAGATACAGATTTCTAAAAAATCCTTTACAGCTCACCTTTTAAAAGCCTGACTCCAAAGCAGTGAGAAATAAGGCCACATCAAATTACGAAAGGAATGTAGACTCTCTTGCACATTGATGAATTCAAGTGATGGACCCCACTAGCTAAAGAAACCATAAAGGACTTGAAGCACTAGATCACTTTAAAGTATAAGTCAAGGTACAAACTTTTTTTGTTTAAAATAATAAATTGGAAGAGGAAAAAGAAGTAATGAAGGTCAAGTATAGGCATATTTCAGACACTCTCACTTGATTTGGTTCCAAAACAAAAGCTGAATAAGAAAAATGGGATCTCCACATTGATGCCTTTAGTTTTGTGACAGTTGAAGGATTTGACGCCCTATTAAAACAGCTTGGGAAGAAAGAAAAATAAGCTAGTTCCTTAGATACTTCACCTCCTCCTTGTAGCTGGGTGGTGATATTCAGTTTACATTGAACTTTGGCTTCCAGGAGAAGATAAATTTGCTCTTCCATGGTAATGGTGCCATCAGAATCAACCTGATAAATAAAAGCCCAAAGAGAAAATATTAGTGAGGAGGGGCATTGTTATAAGTGTTTCATAGTTTATTTTAACAGGAGTTTTCTTTGAGAGAATTAATGACTAAAAAATCAGCACTTGGAAGCAATCGAACTTAAACAGTAAAGAATTCAGTACGGCTATAAGTTGAGTTTATCCTAAGAACTGATGCTCAGAAAGTCACGTTAAACCACCCACTATGCTCTTTACCTGTCACATAACCAAATCTAATTTCACTTGTATCACTTCATACTTCAGAAGGTCTGGGCCTGTACTGGGCCTGGCCTCTCCGTCCCCCCTTCAATTGTGTCATTTTTGCTGCTTTTTTGGTTAGCAAAAAACAATGTTCCATTTGGCTCAAGCATAATGTGCAATCCCCAGACAGAGTAGTCAGCACTTGAATTTAAAAGCTGTTAAGTGGGAATTGATAAACCAACTTCCCAAGGCTAAATTCTGAAGGTGACTGGAAGTGCAGAAGCCAGCACAAGGTATTCAACCTGCTGCAGAACTAGTAGTGTTAGTAAGGATGTCCCATTGTTAATGATCAGCAGGGATTCTAGTTTTCTGATTAAAAATTGCAATTTCTCTGATTAAAAACCCAAAATCCCTTATAAAAATTAAAGGCCCCCGCATTCCCCCCCCAGTCTCAACAGCCCTCCTGATGCCCCTCACAATAGCCTCCCAGACACAGACACGCAGGCACAGACATGCAGGCACAGACACTGACACGCACCCCAGTTTGTGTGGGGGGAAGGGGCGAGGCGGGGTGGGGCAGGGGAAAGAGAAGGTGCTGGGGGATAGATCAAGAACAGGGGAAGTATGCCCCTGTGCCCACTCCCAGGAGCAGGGCCAGGGGGCAAGGGCAGGGGTGCCCCTCTGTGGGGGAGCTTTGCAGGCAAGCGATGTGGGGCACAGTGTGGTGGTGCCCACCATATGCGGGCTGCACACTGCCGCCTGGCCACCTGCCCGGGGGAGGGGGAAAGGGAGGCTGGCATGTGGCCGGAGCACAGCTCCATGGCCGACTCTGCAGCCACAGCGAAGGATGGGGGCGCAGAGGCGGGGGCTTGCACGCAGCGGCTGCTACTGCTTACCTGGAGGGCTGTGATGGCGGTG